GCGTGTTCGAATTGTGTAAACAAGCTCGGTTTCAGCCACAAGTTGGGAGATCGAACAGATAAACGGCTGGAGGAGTTCCTCGGGAGTGCGATGGCTAATGCTAGGCTGACCAGACGTAGCCTACGGAGCTGGCCAGTAGCGTACGACATGGACATGCTCACATTTTCACAAAGCTTTAGATAAATTTCAGTGGACGTCGTGAGTAACTTCGAGAAGCGAACATTAAAAGCTGCAGTTTTTGTCCGCCGAGGCGACACCAACCGTCTCCGGTCGTGGCTGGAGCGCTGGCCTGAAGTTAGCAGAAGGCTATCAAGCTGCACGTCGGGCTCCTACACGAAAGTAAGTAATAAACCCGTTACTTTTTCATTTCATCTGTTTTTTTTTTTATTATTTCTTATCACTCAAATCTGTCGAGTTGGACTGGGTTGGGATAAACGTCCACATTTAACCTCGTCAGTGCACAGTGTGAGTTTGCTAGCTACAAGTTAGTTTAGCTGCTGAGATCAGGGCCTGATGAGTTTGTTCTGCAGCTAGGTCTCTGTCTGTGACCTGATGCGTTCAATGTTACTCAACGGAGCAACCTTGGACTGAGTTTAAACCTTACTGGCAATAGCTTCTAAAAATACTACAGTGGTGGGGAAAATGTTCAAAGTTTTACTGAAATACTGCAGAGTCAAAGTACTTTATTTCCAGCTAGAAGCCAACTTTAGCAAAGCTGCAAAAGCAAACAATATGTTGCTGCTCTTAAGATGGACCTCATTAGATGCATTATATACATTATTAGATTACTGAGCACATTTTGTAATAAGAAAATATTAACTGGATTTGGGAAGTTGTCAAAGCCCATGTGTTTTGTATTAATCTTTAAATTAATAACTAAATACAGATAAATATTCTTATTTTCCTCAGTGTAAAGTTGAAGTGTAGCAGTTCAAATTCGTTAAACCTCAGTCACTATTTGTCACAGTTTTTAAATGCAGCTTTGACATTTTGTTTACTTTTACTACATATGTGACCTTTATATGTCCAAAACATAACAGTGATGATGAGGGGCTTAAAAATAATAAATGTGGAGCTTAAAAGGAATTGTTTTTTTTTATTTGTAATACAGAAGTTGCCTGACACCCCTTGGTCAGCGTTTTGCAGAAAAACAGAAATTACACATGTACTCATGTGCAATGCCAAGTTGCTATATCTTCTCGCCATGTTTTGTAAAATACTCATTCCTATGTGTCCAAACTCATCAACCATACAACCAGAATAGAAAACCAAGCTTGTTTTAACCCCCCAAAAAAGTCCAAGCTCAATAATCCAGGTATACAATCCAACAATTTTCAGCTTGTTTTAGTTTTACACCTTTTAAATAATAATTAAAAAAAATGCTCATATTTGATTATTAATTATTCAGTGCTTTGAACAGTTTTTAATCCTGTTCTTTTACTCTTTTTTTTTTTTTTTTTTTTCCTGAATTGTGTAATTTTCACTTGTGTAACTGTACTTTTGAAAGTTTGTGCCTTTTCACTTTCAGAATCTAGATGTTATTTACCATGGCTTCAAGCAAAGTTATGATAATCATTGTACCCGGTTTGATCTCTAAACTGATTTTTACACTTGCGTGGCATGCTTGAAAATTTACAGAGTTGTTGTTGTTGTTGTTGTTGTTGTTGTTGTTGTTGTTGTTGTTGTTGTTGTTGTTGTTGT